CTTTTTTATTTTATGGCTAGCGTCGCTTCTAGCAAAATGGTGGGCTCTTATTGCATCAGAAATGTTTTTGTTTGTCCATTATTTTCCGTTGTAGACCCAGGTCAAAAACGGAAATTTTACGTTCAAATGTAAACACATTTTGTAAATAAAACATGAAAAATAAAAAAAGACAAAAATCAATTATGAATGTGAGTCAAAGCAAAAGAACTAGGAATACAGTTTATTGTTTTTGGCTATATAATTTAAAAAGATTTAGTTTTTACATGCAAAAACTGGAAAAGGGAAAGCCAAGCCGTACAAAACAGCAATGACAAAGAAGAAAACAAGCTTTGTTTCTCTTTCTACGTGCTAGGTTTATACAGAAGTATTTCTTTGTAATATTTCTCAGTAAAGACCTCGTGCTCTGTTATTAATGCCATTAATTATAGATTAACTGGTTTTGTTAAGGCTGCTTACACTTATATAATTTATAAAAAATGCAAGACACCATTTTAGTATAAAATGTCTTTTAACAAAATTAACCGATAGTATATGAAGTACACGAAGTATATTTTGTATATTGAAGTATATAAAGTACTGTACTTATATATATGATATTTTAATTACTTTTTTATCTCGTTTGGGGATAAACAACTATGTCAATTATACAGAAACTTTTTTTGTCAAGCGCTAACACAATATGACAGCAAACGCTGTTATTTGCTGCTCGATTGCTTCACTTTCTTTGTTTTGTCATCTACTTTATCTGGCCATTTGGTAATCTGCTCAGCTGTCGCTTCGAAAGTTAAAGGAGCGATTTCTTCTGGTGTGATTTCCTCGCCAATTAACGATTTGAACAGCCCTTTCGTTTGCATCCAACCCGTGCATTTTGTACTCCATGCTGTATAATTTACGGTATTTGCCATTTAATTGTTTGTCCGCTCATCTTCAGTAACCTGGGTACATAACATGTTAATTTCTGATGGAATTTTTAGGTTTATTGAAGAAGGAAATGTTATCTTTTGATAAGAGCCAAGATGACATGGCGGTAGTAGAACACAATAATAAATATATAAAGACACGATCATTCATATTTCGCCCATATCACGTGACATTCTGCTAACATCATCCCGTGTCCTTAGGCATGAACAATAACAATATTTTTTCCTCCCAAATTTACAAACATATATTAAAAAATGAATAATTTGTTTTCAATGTTCTATCTCCTTTCATCGTTTGTTTGGGCTCGATGGATATATCTAAATATGTATCAGAAACAATGTGAAAACTTTTACATCCAAAAGGTAACAAATTTCCAAGGTAAATCTTTAGGAGTTACTGAGTACACAGTTGTTATATCAAGGCCTTGCATTGAAATCACTATAAATGTTGCAACTGAAACGTTTGGTAGTTAGCAATCATGAATGTTATTATTGGTCCTCTGCCCTTGTCTGCCATGATTTGCATTATAGTTTATATTTATAGCTGTCGCTTTTGGGAACCACCTGCACTTGCGAAAATAAGTAGCACTGGAAATTATGGATATTCCAATGTGCATTTAAAATTTGGCAATCTTCCTGTCTTGGCACGAAAAGCAAAGATCTTCTCCGAAATACAACTTACCGCTTTATGATTGCATTACCTCTACGTCAGTGGAGTGGCACCAACTTCGTCCCTATTTGATCAAAATTGATAAAAACATTGTCTTCTTTTCTTTGGTCGTGTCATTGACGCACGTGCATTTCGTGAGATAGAGTGACGTTGGGATTATTACCAAAAAGGGAAGAGATGTTATTAAGGAAATAGAGTAAAAATGTTGTTGTTCTTATTGCATTGAGCAGTCGTTTTCCAGACAAATTTATCATCAAATGAAAGATTTAGCCGAGCCAGACTTGATGAAATTGCAAGACAATCAAAGAGTTAAAATTCGCAAATGGATGATTATGACCAACGTCGAACAAGTAATAAGCAATGTCATATTTTTCTTGTTATCTTAAGTCCGTAGATAAATGCGGATTTCGCGTAATGGATTGACGTTGGGATTATTACTAAAAATCGAGGAATTATTCTTGAGATAATATCATTTTCGTATTGACTTTGTCATCAAATTGAAGTTTCAAAAAAAACAAAAAACAAGAGGCATGATTTTTTTGATATTGCTCAAAAAGATGTGTTAGAGAGCATCTAATATGGAATCAATCGTTCATCAGTGCTCGATACCACGACCTGGAGATTAAGAATCTTATGCTCTACCGTCTGAGCTAGCCGAGATTGCTAAAGTAAAGACAATCAAATAGTAAAAAGTCGTGTAGACACATTTGAACGAGAACTAAGTCTGAGGATGATAGCAGATGGCTGTGCCGGTTGTAAGTGTCATTGGTAGACTGCAGAAACAAACGGGTTGCTATTCAATGGGATTTTTTAGGAAATCGCTTCTTTATGGGCTTTTTTTAAAGCAAATAGCTAGTGAAAATAATAACCTTAGCAAAGATGCCACTTGGTTCTTGTTCAGTCATTCCAAATAATGTAACCAGATTGCACAATCCGCTGGTATATGTTATCTTTCTCAACATTATTATTAGAGCTGTGATACTGTTTGAAGTTGTCCACAGCAGCAAGTGTGGGAAAGAGCAATGTCGCTTCATACTCTTTTTTGAAATCTAGAAATAGAAAATATTGAGGAAGTTATCATTTTTATCAGCTTTTAGTCTCTTTGCTACCGTCGTATGGCTTTTAGCTTGCATACCTAAACCATTGCTGATATTTAAATTTATTTATTACATGGAAGTTGATATGAGTAATTAATCGACGTTTTGGTGTCAGCATCGTGTCTAATAGCACTAATTCCAAGTCATCTTTAATTTCACTACATGTGTCTTCTTATCTCGTACTATGATTTATCATAAGGTCAAAAACTTCATTGAAGTCTTCTCTGAGAAAAATGTTTATAATAAATAAAGAGCTTTTTACTTGCTATCTTTAAGTATGGTTAAATAGAAAGGAAAAAATAAAAAACAATTGAAAACCCCTCATTTCTTGTAATAAATATTATTTATGTTTGCCTTCTTGACGCCATTTTGTCTTTGTCTGCCAGGAAAACATGCAATTTTCTGTAAACATGAAACTAAAGTATTTTTTCATTTATACGTCAAACTTTAAACCGCTAATCTATAATTGTCGTTTGGGGTATGAGGTTTAAAATGTGATCGCCAATCTGTAGCTCTCTAATCATATATAGAGATGTTGTTTTTTGTAATTAAATTGTGCAGTCGTTTTGCAGACGATTTCGTCATCAAATGAAAGAAAAAAAAAGAATACTATCGTCACATTAGTATAATATTACTAGCATATGTATGCTAGAGAGCACAATATGGAATCAATCATGCAACTTGAATGAAGTGTCGCTCGACGTGGGACTCGAACCCACGACCCTGAGATTAATAGTCTCATGCTTTACCTTCTGAGCTAGCCGGGCTTTATGGGAGTGAGAGATAATCAATTAGTATATTTTTGGTGCGTTGAGACAAAGAAAAATCGCTCTTTCTCTGTTTTTTGAAATCTTGCAGTAAAAAATACCGAAGAAATTACCATTTTTCTTGCTTTTAGTCTCCTTGCCAAAGTCATTAATATATAGCTTTATAGCTGGAAACCTAAACCATTGCTCACATTAAAATTCATTTATAACTTGGAGGTTGATATGGATAGTCAATAGACGTTTTTGTGTCAACATCTTGTCTAAAAGCAATAATTTAAGTCATCTTCACTTTCGCTACTTGTGTCTTCTTAGCTCGTACTATGATTCAACATAAGGTAAAAAACTTTATTGAAGTCCTTTCTGATAAAAAAATGTTTGTAATAAATTAAGAGCTTTTTACATACTAATTTTAGGTATGTTTAAATAGAAAGGAAAAAACAGAAAACAAAAAAAAACACAGATTTGTTTTAAAAAATGTCAAATATGTTTGCGTTCTTGCCGCCATTATAAATTTTTGTGCCAGGACAACTTTTGCGGTAAACATGAAACTAAATTTTCTTTTACTTTAGACGTCAAACTTCAAAGCGCTAGTCTATAACTACAGTTTCCAACAAGTGAAAAACCCAAAGCATTTTCCTGGAATTATGGCCACCATGGGATAGAGTGCACAATTCAGTGCCCCTTCTGTATAATCATTATTTTCTGATAATACTTTTTATTTTGCATTCGTAAATAGATATGAAATAATGAGTTTCTACACGACAAAAATTTAAAAATTTTTAAACAATTTCTATTGAATTGTTGGAATATAAACTATGGCAAATAAAATGTATTTCAAAACATAAAAATCATTGATTTTCAGTAAAATACCTTTCAGTTCGTAGTTTCATCGTGCTCAATATTCAATCATCGTACACGCTTGCGCAGAATATAAAAAGAACAACTAAGACTGGGGACCTTCTTATACCATGACCTTGGTTATTCAAGCTTAGTTTCTAATACAGACCTATTAAATTTGCGTAAGCATAGAATATTTATTTTACAGAATGCTCTTTCAAAAATTACGTAGACAATTATTCCAGCCGTTTAATGAGGATTTGTCACTTGTTTCCAACCTTTAAATTTACACGACCTCATTTTTGAACAGCGAACTCTAGAAAATTTTGGCTTAAGAATGACTTTGTATTATCTTAAGGTTCGCAAGAAGTAACGACTCTAACGACATCCTCCACCAATTTTGTCAACCTTTCTGTGCCGCACAACCTGTGTGAGGCCAAAAACATCTAATTTTTTGCACAAGAGAACCTTCTGTATAATCTTTATTCTGTGCGATTCTGCGAGTGCAAGTATAAAGATCTATGGTTATCTTCCTCTTTGAAAAAGTTCAACTTATGATGTCAAAGATTTTTTTGAAACTATTAACACATGCTTTTTCACAGGTACGATTCGCTAAAGAAAACAACAAAAAACACAATGCTTATCAATCAATTTATCTCGCGAAGCATATGGGTCAGACAAAATTTTGTGTTTGACTTGAAAGGCAAAGTAGCTGTTCGATCTTTTATTTTAATTTTTTCAAAATTCGGCTGTTCTTCTATCCGTATAATTTATTGAATAATTATGTCTACAGTAAACTTACAGTAGCAATGTAGAATTCTTATCACTAATAATACGATTGAATCAATATTTTCAATAATGCCTGTCTCTTCAACAAGTAGCTGTAGTTACTTGATATTTTTATGTCAACAACGTCCAATTAATATTTTTATTAATTCGCTTAACTTAAAAATCGTACAATGCACTTATCAGTTCAAATTCATGCGTTTACCAAACCATAATTGTGTTGTGGCATTTTCTGATGATGCGCAACGATGTGTAGTGTTATAGCAATCATAATATCCAAAATTATCTTCTCCTCCTTTACCACCAATATTGCTACAGCCTGATGATTGGAAGTTCTTCAGATTGCATATATATTGAACATGGGTATTGTCTGTATGAAAAATATGTTTGTCATTTTGCCAGAAAGGAATGCTGCAATTTGTACAGTTGTAGCCTTTGATATCGATAAAACTGACATTTAGGCAAACGGCATCGCTGTTAGTCAGCTTCAAAATTGGTGCATTTTCATGGGTTGCAACAACCAAATCTGTTTTATTCCAGTCTTTGTCACCGTATGAGCACGTGATACGCCATAACGTGTTTCCATCTTCTTTTATACTCTTCATTGCGTTAAATGAAAGTCTGTGATCTTCCCATGTTTCATTCGTTTCATTTCGAGAAAAGCTTTTATGATATGGTTGAAGTCTATATTGAGCACGTAATTTCAAGCTATAGGACATAACTAATGTCCAAACATGCGCAGAATCAAACTGACAGTAAACTTTAACCATTTTACTTTCATTTGCAAATATTTGATACCAGCCATTTAAACGACCAAGAAAATTTTGACAAGACTTTGCTTTCTTTTCACAACGTTTACCTACAAATCCTTCTTTACATTCGCAAAAGGCGCGCACTTTACTCGAACTTGAGGTTGATAGTTGACATTTTCCGTTGTTATTGCAGTAATTTGATGTAAGACAGCAATCTATTTTCACATGACATGTGCCGTCGGGGTAGCTTGAATTATCCTAAAAAGAGAGAAAACATGAACATGCTATAATTTTGCAGATATAGGTTTCCATTTTAAGTATTTATGTACCTTAACGTGACAATGAGATGTTAACAACTGTAGTTACCATTTGTACGTGTATATTTACATATATAAAGAAAGAAATATAATTTTAACGACGTTCAGGTCTTATCTATATAATCTCTTTTAGTGGCGGATATATTGGGTACCTCAAAATAAATTATTGCAGCGCAATTTAGACTCTATTTACATTCCTACGCACGTAATAAACAAGTTCATTGGTTAATGAATCACTTTGCTTTTGTTAATAATGACTGGAAAGAAGCAGCAATACCTCTACCTTAATACTATATTGTCTACGTTTGTTGATGTATATACTTAACAAAACGTAGTTCCATGACAACAATGCTATACATATTTTCTAGTGATAAAAGGAAGATTTAGTTCATGTCATAATTTGAGTTGCAGTGTAGGAAATTCTTAATAAATTCAAAGCTTTTGCAATCCTTAATAACTTTTTTAATTGAAGATCTGGCTATAATTTTGCTCACAGCAATTTAACTAAGTTGCTTCTAAGATTGCAATGCTCACAGTTGTTTTTTCCAAACTTAGTTGCTAGTAATTGATTTGGATGCTAGTCTTTACAGCCCTACAGCAAAAAACAACAACAAAATAACAAGAACTCCTCATTTGACTATTTTATCATCCAGCAATAACGCTTACGCAGGGAAATTTCTATTTTAATGCAATATTTTTACCTCTTTGTTCAATATTTTCATTGTGAAATGTTGACATTGACTTTTCTCATTGTTACTTGTCTCCTCAGTTATGGTTGTAGAAAGAAGTTGACACGCCGTACCACAAATTTGAAATGATAAACATGAGCAATCTGTTAAACATTGTTCTAGACATTCATCAATCTTTGAATTAGTGATGTTTTTCATAATGAAGTTTGATGGCAGCGACCCATGGCGAGCATAAAGTTGGACATTGCCATTCATAGAGACAACATCAGGTAGATATAAAAAGTCGATAAATAGAATCCAAAAAAACATTTCATATGAATGTCTATCTAAAGGAAAAATTAGTAAATGCTTCGTTTTATACAATAGATAAATTACTGATATTTCAAGAAAACGTTTTAAAAATTTCATTCACATATAAGTGAAGTAAAAGTTGCTAAATTGATAGCGTGAAAATAACTTTTTTAAAGAAAGAGCTCCGTGAATACGGAGGTTTACGATAATCACACTAACACACACATAAAAATACACTAATTAAAATGCATAAAACATTAATAAGATGACAATAAAGAAAGTATGTGAGAGAGGGTGAATGCATGGCAGCATGTGACATGTCTTTTTTAATACTTAATTTCAGGCATTATGCAAGCGCGTATTTTGATGGCAGGTTTTAAAATCATAAAAATTTTTTTGTTATTGCTCTCAATTTTATATTCTCTCGTTATTTTTAGACGGCTTTACACGGAGTTATTTTTACACGCAAATGTCGATGACATATGTTTTGTTTAACATCAACTGCAAAAGACTTTAATGCCTGTTTATATCAATTGCAATTGTACATGAGAAGGCCTTACGGGATGATTCAGTAGACGGGATGATGAATTGGATTTCGGCATTCCATTCCACTTTACCGAACAATATTATTCTGACCTGCTATATTCAGATTCAAAACCTGCGAAAAATCCGATGTAAATTATCATTAGAACGAGAAATTAAAATACAGCATCATGGCCCCAAAATAGTAGATAGCTGTCAGAGTTTTGTACCAGCATGTGTAATTTCTCTATCGAGTCAGGTACGAAGCAACAAAACGGGCCATTGTGACAGCGAGATATCAATATAAATACCAAGTACTGTCGGAATTGGCTACTTATTATTGTCATACGATGAGCATGTGTGCCGCGGGGGTAGATATAAAGCGGGTGCGGACGGCGGACATGGATGGCGGACGCGGACGGCGGACGCTTTATATCTACACCCCACTTAAAGACGCGATTTTGTCAAAAATAAAATAGCTAATGTCAAAATTTCAAAATATAGTAACCTTTGCATAAAAATGGAACTTTTCGCACCAACATTATGTGAGGGAGGAGTTCCCCTTTAAGTGTTTTTCTTTAAAACATTAAACATTGCTTGAAAGACACGGAATACTTGGAATGTATATTCTTTTGAGAAGCTACAAGGAAAAAATAACAACAAACATCACAACCGGTTGGATCAAAAATAGTAAAGCAAGTATTGTATATTATTTTAGCCAGTATAAGTTATGTAATTTTTTTATTTATTTAAATGGACGACATTTCATTCACATCATCGAACTGTTTTAAACGATAAGTTTTTGCCAATTTTTCATGTAAATAAAACAAGATGTAGACATTCGGAGAGTTTATGAGATGCAAGTGGAGGGGAGACGGAAACGAGGACGCCCAAAGCATTGGTGGAAGGATACCATCAGGAGAGACATGCAGCTATGTGGTGTCAAACAAGAGGATACCCAGGACAGAGCAGCCTGAAGAAGTCTGATAGAACTGGGTCTCTGGCAAAGACCCGCTACCCGAGCAGGACACAGCGGGGAAAGGTGACCAAAGGTGACCAAAACACACTTATCCACCAGTTGGATCTCTTTTCTCCCCATTGAAAACATCGCACTTCCATTAAACACTCTATTATCCCGTTTGTTATTATAATGAAGTTGATGCTAAGTTCACTGCGAGAGTCTTCATGTGTATATAATTATGCAAACCTGAATATGTTTTTGGAGACAACATGGGGTTAGAACACTCATGTTCTTTGTTTTAAACGCAAAAATCTGTCACTAGCGTTGTGAGAATGCATTATTCGTTTATTTTTCGAAGTAGAATAAGAGTATTTTACGATCGGACAAAAAGCATTTTATTTTGCTCGTTTTGCTTCCGCCGTCTGCGTCTGTCGTCCGCTTTTTATCTACACCCCATGTGCCGTATTTTTCAATCTTGGAAAATTCACTAAAGCTTGGCAGACATATTATGTTGATTTTTTAAAGACAATAAAAAATTTGCAATACAACAAAAGTGCCCATGACAAGTTTTTAAGCAGACAAGTTTAAGCAGAGCAAGTTTAAGCAGAGCAAGTTTTTAGGTGATTAACGAAGAAAATGGCTTGCGTGAAGTCACATCGGGAGGGCATTTGTTATGGTCGATAACGTTTTATTATAGCAACCCAAAGGTATAAATTGTTTAAACGTTTGCTAAAAATTTTTTTTGATAAGGTGCCACACAGATGTGTCGCGTTTACATACACAAATCCAATAAATTCGAAGAAAGAGTTTGCTCTCCGTAGAATCCCATAGGCAAATGACACAGACCAGAAGCTAATAAACGTAAAAATGCTTGGGTTGATTATGTAAAAATAACGCAAAAAAATTGGGTTTTTTCAAATTGCTTTAAGCATTTTGATAAAGATGACTTGTGTGCCACTTTACTTGTGAGATTAAAGTGGGTAATTTGGACAGCCCGCTGCTTGTAGCTTCCAAACTTAAAATGGATAAAATTAACGTAAGTGTCTGGCATTGAATACTTAATTAATTAGAAAAAGCGGTGAAGCTGGCTTTGAACATATTTACAACAACTTTAAACGAGACGAACTTGAATAAACGCGTATGACAAAAACAAATTAGCAAAGGTTTGAAAAATGTTTTGTATTGATATGTTTTTATAATACTTCAATGAATAAAAAAATTATGAATTCGTTTTTTGCATGATATCAAGAATTATTCAGACCTCGGTCAATGTTGTCCAGCTCAGCTTCGCTTCGAAAGATAACAATGACATCTGTGCGAATAATTCTTGATATCATGCTCAACCTCATCCAATAATTGCTTATTAACCCTTTTATGAAAATTTCAAATTAAAAGACTCCCAATATGTTATCGAATTGAAAAATGAGAGACGTTTTAACTGACAATCACGTCGGTAATACAAATTAAATTGCTGGAGATGAAACAACTATTGAAAAAAACAGATAGTAACACAGTGACAAACAAGATTAACGCATTTGTAGGTGGTTTGATAGTGGTTTCGCAGAAATATGAGGAAAAAATTTCCCAATTTACAGATGAATCATGCACTAAATATTTTGCAAAATAAATCAGCAATTTTATACATACTAGTGCAATATTGGGCTGTGAAAAATATATTTGTGTAAATGATATTACCTTTGTACGTTTGATATCATATGCAATGCCGTCTTGATATGTTGTCTCCGTCTTCTCTTACTTTCCATTTGTTTCATGTCCTCACTGCCGTTTTTATAAGCATCAGTGCGCTTATGTAAACAAACTTTTCTTTCCACCTGCGAATTGGGAATGTCTTAAATTTTGCTAATGGCCTTTTATTAAAAAATACGTGTCGCAAGTTACTACTCAAAAGCGGAAATGAAAAAGTAAAACATACGTGTGTTATTGTTGATAAGTTTTATTTCGTTTATGAGACATCATTTTAGAACTTTTGTGGATGACTATGCATAAGCTTTATAGAAGGATATTATGTAGCAAATGTCTTTATAGCAAAGATTGCATCAAAGAATAAATGTATTTATATGTAGAGTGATATTGATCTATTTGAAATTAATTTGCTCTGACGCAGATACCTGTACTGCCTTTATCAAATATTAATACTCAAAGTTTACGCTGTATGTGCAGAGAGATCACCGACATCTATATGATCTGTTAAGGATTGTTCTATCTTCATCTTATTTTTTTGAACGTGCTTCAGTATGAAAATGTACCATTTACTAAAATGTATGAAAATATAACAAATATAAGCAAAATGTCAGTTTATACGTCATCAAATATTAATAATTTTATTTCAAAGTCAGTAGCACCATACAAAATAATAAGACGATAATCATATATCAGCGATAAGAAAACTTGAAGTAGTTGATAAATCGATATATTTGTATATTCAAGGCATACATATTTATGATTGATGCATAAGGATATAAAGCCCGCCGCACATTGGTGAACTTGCCGCGCGTATTTGTCATTGGTGACAAGTGTGATTTTAAGCCCGCCGCACACTTGTGAACTTGCCGCGCGTACTTGTTATTCGTGACAAGTGTGATCGACAAAATTTCCTAGTGTGCGCGGAAGTTTTGAACTACATTTGTCATTCGTGACAGATGAGTCAAATATCAAACGCATAAATAAACCTGTCACAAATAACAAGTACGCACGGCAAGTTCACCAGTGTGCGGCAGGCTTAAGCGAACATTAGTTAATTAGCACTCCACCAAAATCATTCTTCTAACAATCACTAGTTATTTGTGAGTCTGCCACTTATTGTCTATTATTTAAAGCAAATTTCTTTTTTCCATTAACGCAGCTGCTTCATTGAAAGTTAACAGGCTATGGGCACAGGACATTGAAGATGGACAGTCAAATAAAATTAAGTGGCTTAGTTTCAGTGGAAATGCTGAAGATTACACAGCATGGAGCACAAAATTACAGCGTTTATGGAAACGAAAGGGCAGATGAAATAGATTCTGGGAAGATTTTCAATTATTTTTGTTTTTTCTAGTATCTTATATCAACCAAAGAGTTAGAAATTTGGGAAGAATTGAAAAAAAACAAAGCAGAGGCAGTTGTAACTGAAAACTTTCGGTAAAAACTTTGTTCGATAATACAATTGTCCTTTAAGCCCACCGCACACTGGTAAACTTGCCGCGCGTACTTGTTAAGTGTGATATCAAACGCGTTTGATATTTGGCTCATCTGTCACGAATGACAAATGTTGTTCAAAACGTCCTCTCACATTAGGAAATTTTGTCGATCACACTTGTCACAAGTAACAAGTACGCGTGGCAAGTTTACCATTGTGCGGCGGGCTTTATGGGTTTAAAAGGCACTTATCTAAATGCAAATTTCTTTTTTCAAATAACGCAACAGTTCCATTAAAAGTTTACAGGTTATATGCCTAGGATATTGAAAATAGACAGTCGAACAATTAAGTGGCTTAGTTCAGTGGAAATGCTTAACATTATACAGCACGGAGCACAAAATTTCATAACTAGTTATAACTTCAAACTTACGTTTTCTATTTATTCTTCGTTTTTTAAACATCTTGTATTAATCGATGAGTCGGAAATTTAGAAGAATTGAAAAAAAAAACAAGGCAGAGGCAGTTGTAACAAAAAACTCCCTGTGAAAACTTTGTTAGATAATGAAATTGTCACTTATGGGTTAAAAAGTTCTTTTCAGGTCCTTGCATTTAAAGATAACTTTTTAAGTTCCCTTGGTGCAAAAGAAAAGACATGTTCCCTTTTATTGGTGATGCATGCAAGGTTGGACAATCGATTCTCTTTCGATGTGCTACGCATATAGGTTTGACACGTTTTAAACAACTAAATGTCCTTTCGTCGGATGCGGAAGAAACAGGCTAGGTTCTAATAAGTCTTAGCAACGTATATTTATTTAGTACTGAACGCTTACACATTTGTGAGTTTTGTTCTATTTATAGTACTAGGTGCAATTAATGAAAGACGTGCAACGTTGAAACTTAGGTACCTTAACGTAACAATACAATGCGAAATGCGTGACTTCTTAAATATGTAACAATCCAACAGAAAAGCTGGTCTGATTTTTGTAATCTTCATACACATGACATCAAAATCCGTAATTTTGAGGTGCTCGCATCAACTATGGCCATTAAAATTTAAGACAAACAATTTTTGATGAATAACTTTAATGAATAAATTTGCGTTACATTCCGACTTTTTTGTTAATAGTTTTTCTTTTGTTTAACATGACAAAGAGGTGAAAGATAGGTTCAAATACTTGTGTGCTGATTAAACAAAAGAGTCGTCTCTGATTAAGTTGTCTTGTTAGGGAAAAATTTTACTTAAATTTCTAATGACAAACAATCAATATACAATTTATGTTGAATTAGCTTTAACAGGAATACTGGGTTTCTTTTTTGTTAATTGAACTAAATACGTTAATCAAACCATAGTTGTGTTGTTGCATTTCCTGACGATGAGCAACGATGTTTTCTGTTATAACATTTAGATCACAATTACATTCTGTTTTATATATAATATCCAAAATTATCTTCTACTCCATAAAGCCCATCATTGTTATAACCAGATGATTGAAATTCTTCAGATCCTCTCCACATAAGCCATGGCTATTTTCTGTATAAAAAATATATTGGTTATTTTCAATAAATGGAATGATGTAATCTTTACAGTTGTAGTCTTGGATATTGATATAACTGAAATTTAGGGAAACTGGTACTGTAGTAAACTCATTCAAAACTGGTGCATTTTCATGGTTTTCAATAACTAAATCTCTTTCATTCCAGCCTTTCTCTCCGTATGAGCACGTGATACGCCAGAATATGTTTCCATCAATTTTTATAATGATCATTGCATTAAATGAGACTCTGTGATCTTCCCATGTTTCGAACGATTCATTTCGAGGGAATCTTTTATAGTATGGTTTGTATCTATGCTAAGCAGGGATTTTAAGTTATACGGCATAACCAATATCCAAGTAATCACAGAATCTTACTGACAGGAGACTTTGACAATTTTGTTTTCTTTTCTAAATGATATATACCAGTCATTTGAGCAAACGAAATAATTTTGACAAGACATTCTTTCTTTTCACAACGTTGACCAACAAATCAATTTTTACATTCGAAAAAGGAGCAAGTCTTACTATATGATGTGCTTGATTATTGGCACGTACCATTTTTATAGCAATACGATGACCTTCGACAGTAATCCGTTTTTATATGGAAACTTTCTGTTCAATAAGTTGACTTTAACTGAAATGAGAAAGAAATATATGTCCACAAAAATGACATTCTCACTTTTAAAAGAGATTAATGTTATTGCTATATACATATATATATATTTGAAAATTGGTAACCCAGGGATATATATGATAACATTAAGGATTCTCTGGATTTTTATTTTGAAATTTTTATTAGGCTTTCAACTCGGTGCTTCGAGCCTTCATCCGAATATAAGAATATATTATTTACAATGATTTTGTAGTCGTTTGGAGCGTCTGATTGGTTGGTTAGTAGTTGAGTTGATAGTATTGGATGCTATAAGATGCGTTGTCATGGTTTCGGGTGTATGGATTGCGTTAATGAAATTTGAGTGTTTTATTTTAGTCGTTGTGTTATTAGTTTGTTGTTTTGGTTTTTTCTTTAGTTGTAAATAGATGATGGGGATGTCAATATGTCTGTTTATAGTGTTGTTGTCTTTGCTGTACCATGCCTCTTTGAATTCTCGTGCGTGTTTTATCTTTGCGCGTCCAAGAAGTGGTGTTTCTGTCCAGTCAAATGTGTAGTTGGTATCGTTGGTATGTTCTGCTGCTAGTGATTTTGGGTCGCGTCGTTTGATGGTATTCTTGTGTTCAGTGAGTCTTGTTTCAATTTTCTTGAATGTTTGTCCTATGTACTGTTTAATTCAATCTTTACATGGTATCATTTAGATCGCGTTAGTTGTGTCATATGTCGTTATTCAGTCTTTATGTTTATTGAAGTATATGGCAATGTCACTATTTTTACTGGTTCGTCTGTATCTTCGTTAGGTTTTTCAGTTTCTGGTTTGTTGTGTATTTTGTTTAATACTTTGTTGATAAAGTTTCGTGGGTAATTGTTGTTTATGAATGTAGAGTATAAGTAGTTGCGTTCATTCTTCTTGGCTTCTTCTGTATTGCAGTGTGTTTTAATCCTGTTAAAGAGAGTTCGTATGCAACTCATTTTGTTTTGTGTTGGGTGATTGCTTTTAAAATTGAGTATTTGGTCTGTGTGTGTAATTCTGCGGTATACTTGTGTGTTTAATGTGCCTTCATGTGATCTGGTAAGTAGAATATCTAGGAAGGTAAGTTGTTTGTTTTGTTCTTTGTCCATTGTAAAAGCTATGTTCTGTGTGGTGTTGTTTATTGTGCGTAGAATGTGTTCTGTTTGGTCTTTTTCGACGATAGCAAACATGTCGTCGACAAATCTTCTCCATATTCTGATGTGTGTGTTGTTAGTTACTGACTGCTTTTCAAGGTGTTGCATAACAGCTTCTGCATGGAAGGTGGATAAAGGAGAACCCACTGGTGTTCCTGAGATTTGTCGGTAATATGAATTTTGGAAGGAGAATTCAGAGGAGAGGCAGAGCTCGTTGACATCGTATGGTTCTGAGAATTGGCAGTGTTATGTCATCTATACAATCCCAGCATTAGTTGAGTGGAGCACATCTGTTGTGGAGTTTATGTGAGAAGAGTTCTGTGTCCATCAATAGAAGGTCTAAGGATGATCAAGGATACAGAAAAACACAACGAACAACAAGGTGCAGTTTACAAAATAAACTGCTCCGACTGCAACAATTCCTATATCGGGGAGAATGGCAGGAACAAAAATATAAGACTTAATGAACACAAACGAGCTACATAGAAACAGGACAAAACTAATCACATCACCAACTAACAAACCACAACATGACCAGATCGCAACAATTACCACCACCTTAAAAACGACTCATCCACAATACAAAAGAAAACAAGCAACTAGCACTACTTTAGGCGAATCCACGATAACAATACACAATTGAAACCCAGACACTCAAAAATTTCCTGTTCACACAATACGATGACGTAAGAGCCAGATAACAAATTTGGATAATGTAGTAAATCGTTTGAACCCGAGAGTATGTTTACATGTTTGTAAATGTATATCGTCGAGGTTGGTATAGTCCTTATAAAGACTATTTTTGTTGTTGTTGACTGACGTTTCGACAACCTAATGATTAGAAACTAAACTGCTCCGACTGCCACGATTCCTATATCGGGGAGACTGGCAAGAACATAAATATAAGACTTAATGAACACAAACGAGCTATTAAAAAACCAAACAAAACCAATCATATCACCGACTGATAAACCACAGCATTGATTGGGACTTGGCAAAATGCATTACTTACAGCACTGACTATAGACAACGGCTTACATTAGAAAGTTAATATACCAACTTAGAACAAAACCCCCTGATCAGATCACAACAATTACCACCACCTTAAAAACAAAACATTCACAATACAAAAAAGAAACAAGCAACTAACACTACTTTAGACTAATCCACGATAGCAATACACAATCGAAACCCAGACACTCAAAAATTTCCTGTTCACACAATACGATGACTTAAAAGCCAGATAACAAGTTTGGATGATAAAGTAAATGGTTTGAACCCGAGAGTATGGTTACATGTTTGTAAATGTGAATCGTCCAGGTTGGTATGGTCCTTATAAAGACTATTTTTGTTGTTGTTGACTGACGTTTCGACAACCTGAAGATTTTTGACTCTGAAGATGACTACCGCTAAGGTTGTCGAAACATCAGACAATAACAAAAAAAACCAGTCCTTCTCAAGACTCTACTAACATGGGCGATCTACATCTACTAACATGTAAAATATATTATGTTGTGATATAAATTTTCAGTTTCAGTGAATACACTAAGCGATAACAAAGACAAGTATTATATTTTAATAAGAAACACATATGTGCTAAAGCACCTCAACTTTCTTCATATTATTTATGTTAATTGATTGTTGTTAAGTTACGGCACTGCAGGACAGTTTCAATAATATTTCAAATAAGGTAACAATTCATTTTTTTTCCAAAATTTAACATTCACTCCCTCTCAGATTATAATAGTGTCTTAAAAACACGTAAATATACTTTAAGAACAAACGTCTAAAAGAAGATGTGCTGGATAGGTTGTATTGGATATGAAAAAAAAAGGCTAAGTGATATATAAGGTTATACAGGTTTAATATTTTTGCAGTTGCGAAAACAAGTGAAAAATCCAAAGCATCTTGCAGGAATAATGGCGACCATGGGAAAGAGTGCACAATTCATCGCCCCTTCTGTATAATCATTATTTTTGATAATACTTTAATATCAAATAATTCTTATTTAATCGATGGAAGATAAACTATGTCAAATCAATTGTATTTTAAAACATAAAAATCATTGATTTTCAGTAAAATACCTCTCAGCTCGTAGTTTCTTCCTGCTCAATATTCAATCATCTTACACGCTTGCGCAGAATATAAAAAGAACAACTCAGACTGGGGGATTCCTCATATCATGACATTGGTTATTCAAGCTTAGTTTCTAATACTGACCTATTAAAGTTGTGCAAGCATTGAATATTTATTTTACAGAATGCTCTTTCAAAACTTACGTCAGCAATTATTCCAGCCGTTTAATTAGGATTTGTCACTTGTTTCTAACCTTTAAATTTACATGACGTCATTTTTGAATATTGAATTCTAGAATATTTTGTCTTAAGAATTGACTTTGTACTATTCTATAAGTTTGGAAGAGGTAACGACTCTAACGACATGCTCCACAAATATTTTCAACCGTTGTGCGCAGCACAATCTGTGTCAGGCCAAAAACATCTAAAGTTTCAACACAAGAGACCCTTCTGTATAATCTTTATTGTGTGCGATTCTTTGAGTGCAACTATAAAGATCTATGGTTATCATCCTCTGTGAAAAAGTCTAACTTATGATGTCAAAAATTTTTCGAAACTATTAACACATGCTTTTTTACAGGTACGATTCGCTAAAGAAAAAAAACAAAAAACACAAAATTTATCAATCAATTTATTTAAAGAAACTTAAGGGTCAAACAAAATATTTATGTTTGACTTAAAAAGCAAAGTAGCTGTTCCATCTTTTATTTTAATTTTTTCAAAATTCGTCAGTTCTTCCCTATTATTTATTAAATAATTATGTTTACAGTAAACTTAAACTAGCAAAGTAGAATTCTCTTCACTAATAATACGATTGACTAAATATTTTAAATAATGCCCGTCTCTTCTATAAGTAGCTGTATTTACTTGAAATTTTTATATCAACAACGTCCAATTAATTTTTTTTTATCAATTGGCTTCACTTAAAAGTCGTACATAGTACTTATCAGTTCGAATTTAGGCGTTGACCAAACCATAATTGTGTTGTGGCATTATCTGATGATGCACAACGATGTGCAGTGTCATAGCAATTATAATATCCAAAATTATCTTCTCCTATATCGCTACAGACTGATGATTGGAAATTCTTCAGATTGCACTTAATTGAGGCATGGGTATTGTCTGTATGAAAAATAAGTTTGTCATTTTGCCAAAAAGGAATGCTGCAATTTGTACAGTTGTGGCCTTTGATATCGATAAAACTGACATTTAGGCAAACGACACCGTAATTTTTCAGTTTCAAAATTGGTGCATTTTCATGGGTTGCAACAACCAAATCTGTTTTATTCCAGTCTTTGTCACCATATGAGCACGTGATACGCCATAACGTGTTTCCTTCTTCTTTTATACTCATCATTGCGTTGAAAGAAAGTCTGTGATCTTCCCATGTTTCACTCATTTCGTTACGAGAAAAATTTTTATAATATGGTTGATATCTATATTGAGAACGTAGTTTAAAGCTATAGGACATAACCAATGTCCAAACATTCACGGAATCAAACTGACAATAAACTTTGGCCATTTTATTTTTATTTGTATATATTGTATACCAGCCATCAGACTGGCCATGAAAATTTTGACAAGATATTGCTTTCTTTTCACACCGTTTACCAACAAATCCTTCTTTACATTCACAAAAGTTACATGTCTCAGTGTACGGAGCGGCTGATTTTTGACACGTACCATTATTAAAGCAATACGATGGAAACTGGAAGCTTTCTGTACAATATTTTGACTTGAACTAGCAAGAGAAACAAAAAATTAAAACGACAATCTTACTTTAAGAAGTAATTAATTTTTGTGTTTTGGATAAAAACATCAAACAAAAAAATCTAATAAGGGAAATACCTGAAAAATGTACTTTTACATTAAATTTTATTGTTGCTGGTTAATTGCGATTGAAAATCATAATAAAATTTTTAAAAATCCTCGTTAACAACTACGTTTTTAGGTATGGTGATGTGTATTTACTTTGGAGTACATTGTCTTGGCTATTTAACTGCCACATTTTATCACTAAAATGTATAAATCAATTGTTTAACTTTGTAGATGATTTGAAATTTCAACGTAAATAACAAAATGCAGATTTTCAAAAAAGACTAGCATTCCGTCATAAATTCAAGGTGTTAAAAACATATTGATGAAATATGTGAATTTTGCATTGAGACATTTGTTGCTTAGACATTTATTAGATTTTCTGGCGTCTTTCCTCTAATTCAGAAAGATAAAGGCTTTGCTACGTACAAGACAAAAGTTCATCAACTTTACACTCGTCAAATTTGAAAGAAACAAATGATTTTTTTCTAGCTCAGTTATTAATGTTATTTTAGGTTTGAATTTGCTTTTTCCATAATGCAAACGCACGATTTTTGTTTTAACTCACTGACAAACATTTTCTTATTCATTCAACAGTCAACCTCAATGCAATAGAAGTTAGTTGTAGTACTTTGCATGAATAACATCTGGAATATCATCTGCCCACTAAGAATGTTTGGGGAAACAGTGTAACATTTAATTACATGTATACTTCTATAGCTATTAGCATTTGTGAAATTTTTCACATGTAAAGTGTATACATATGGGAATGTGTTCATATGTAAATTATGTTCATATGTGAAATATATTTGTTAGTCAAACAAATCATATATGAACTCATTTCACATAAAACGTGTTTAAATTTCACATATGAACTTGTTTCACATGTGAAATTTTCTCTTGAGACATTTAACATTACGAAGTAAAAGTAAAAGTTTAAAGATAGTTTTTTAAGAAAGCAACGAACGCAAAAAACGGTGTTTTTCGTCAACGTTTGTTTATCCTAATATCAATATTTTGTTAAGCAATATTTTTGTTCGCAAGATTTATATACATATCAGGGCCATGGCTAGATCACTAATCGGGGAGGTGTTTCTTCATATGTTTAATAATGCCTCTTGTTTTTTAGAAAGCCTAGTGGATTGCAAATGAAATCAATCCAGTACAACTTCCTAAAGTAATATAAATGCACTAAACCCAATCAACGTCCTAGCGACGGTCCTATTAATATGACAAAAAATTAAATAAATAGCAACGCTAAATTCGTCAATTAAGGCTTGCAAGATTTGTAAGGACTTGTGGAACAAAAGTTGGAAATATTTTTTTCTAAAGTGTATATTTGTGTTTCCGAATGAACATTTAAATTAATTTAGGCATGCAAATAAATAACATTATTAACAAGAATTTTTAACAAATAAAGCTAAAAAATTGAAAAATATTTTACAAGCTAACAAAATTTTGGGATATTTGGCAGAGTAAGATGCGCAAGTTTAAGCATCCAAAATCATTGCAAATGCCTTGAAAGTTTGAAAAGAAACGTTTTTTCATTATCACTCCCTTAACTTAAATAAAAATATGAAGACAAATACTTAGAGTGATTTCATTTTTTACCATAATGGAAATATTATTAGAGAAATAGCTGAATAACGTCGATTTGTTATTTTCAAAATGCCAGACGTAACAATATTTTTACCTCAAAAACTCACCTTGATACTAGAAATGTTCATGGTAAAATGAATACATTGATCCTCTTCTTCTAAAGATCTTTCATTTGCGTTAGTGGAAAGAAGTTGACAGACTGTACCACAAATTTGAAAAGATAAACAGGAACTTTCTTCGAAACAGTTGTGCAGACACTGATGAATGCTGGAAGTACTGATATTTCTTAAAATGAAGTGAGATGACAGCCTTCCTAGACTATTTTTTATTTCCACTTGGTAGTTAGTAGAAATAAAGGGAAGAACGCAAAATAGTTGGAGTACAGCAATCCAATAATGCATTGTTACATAAATTTCAACCTAGAAATAAAAAGTTCATAAATGCTCAATTATTATGAAATTAAAGACTGATTCCGATTTTTGACATGTCATCAACGATATTCATTTATATTTTTAAATGTTTTTAAAAACGTGCAAGAAAGTTTTTTAATGAAATAATCATGAGCTACTTATGTTATGCTTGCTTGTAGATTTATTAACCGAAAACAAATATTGATTATTTTTTTCAACTTCATACTTTTTAACAGCATATCAATTTACTAACACAGCAAAAAGTTACAAATAAACCATGTTTTTTATTTCTGCAAAGACTTACAAACAATGTTCATGGTATTATGATTAACGTTTTCGGATTAAAAATTTACATGAAAAAAATTTCAATTCTGATTGGTTAAGAGCAATGCACTTTACATTAAATACTAGTGCTAAGATATGAAAACACCGGTGAAAAAACGAATGGAAATTATATTAAAAAAATACGCTCATTACGGGTTTTTCAAACAACCAATGATCTAAGAGCCCATCAAAATAAAACATTTCAAATGCGGGAGCGTTTCTTTATTGTAAACAAAGCAATCTTAATGGCTTTAAGTATATTTTCTTTTTACGTTTATCGTTTGTAAGACGTTTCTGGACGAAAATATAAACACTGCTAAAAATAGATATCTTGTTCCAGCTGTGTGTGTGGAAGCTGAGGTGTTGTAAAAAATAATATTGGGCGAATTGAAAAAATACGTGCCGGCCGATAACTTGCCGCTTGAAATGTACCTGCGCTGAAGTTAAAAATCCCTTAAATAAGCAGTCATATTTCTTTGAAAATATTAATAGTCTTTGTAAAACTTACTCGAGCATGTTTTTCCCAAATTGCACTCAAAACCATGCCATTAGGTATACAGACTAGTTTTAGTCACTTATGAGGCTCTCAAGCGGACAAAACTGCTAGAATGCAAATATTCATATTAAGCGAAAAAATTCATGGTAAGTGCGAAATTCACGCTTATTAAAATTCATAGGGTTCCCGCAACAGACCTGTTGACTAGAAACTGATCTGACTGGGTATAGCTTCCATAGGTGTCAAAAGTGAAGCGTAATTATTCCTGGTACGCCAAGGGTATACGGAGTTTTAAACTTGCCAGGGCTTTTTATTCGGTGTCGCAAGTGGGTAATACCACAGGGAGCCCACAGGTCGAGCATAACAAACATCTACATTAGCTATCCAGTACTGCTAAATTGCTATATTATATTAAAACATCTATTAAAATTACAGCATCATTGCGCCAAAAGCAGTAGATAGCTGTCAGATGTGTAATTTCTTTATCGAGTCAGGTACGAAGCATCAAAATAGACCATTGTGACAGCGAGATATCAATATAAATATAAAGTAATGTCAGAATTGGCCACTTCTTGTTGTCATACGATGAGCATGTGTGCTGCATTTTACAATATTGGAAAATTCACTAAATTTTGGCAAACATATTATGTTGATTTTTTAAAGACAATAAAAAATTTGCAATACAACAAAATTATCCATGACATGTTTTCAAGCAGACAATATTATAGTAGTTTATACGATTTTACAAAAATTTGCAACATATTTTATAAATGAAAAATTTTATGTTGATGGAGAGTGAGCCTCTTAAATTTGCGGGTTTTAAACATAACTTCCTATGGACCGTGAGTATAAAAAGACTGGTGATTAACGAAGAAAATGGCTTGCGTGAAGTCACATCGGGAAGGCATTTGTTATGGTCGATAACGTTTTTATTATAGCAACCCAAAGGTAAAAATTTTTTAAACGTTTGCTAAAAATTTTTTTTGATAAGGTGCCACACAGATGTGTCGCGTTTACATGTAAAAACACAATAAATTCGAAGAAAGACTTTGCTATCGGTTGAATCCCATAGGCAAATGACACAGACCAGAAGATAGTAAACGTAAAAATGCTTGGGTTGATTATGTAACAAAAAAAACGCAAAAAAATTGGGAACATACTGCGTCTTTTCAAATTGCTTTAAGCATTTTATAAGGATGACTTTGTGTGCCACTTTACTTGTGAGATTAAAGTGGGTAATTTGGACAGCCCGCTGCTTGTAGCTTCCAAAGTTAAAAGGGTTATTTAATTAAATAGAAAAAGCGGTTAAGCTGGCTTTGAACACATTTAAAACCACTTTAAACAAGATGAATTTGAATAAACGCGTCTGACAAAAACAAATTAGCGAAGGTTTGAAAAATGTTTTGTATTGATATGTTTTCATAATACTTCAATGAATAAAAAAAACTATTGAATTCGTTTTTCGCATTATATCAAGAATTATTCAGACTTCGGACAATGTTATCCGCCTCAGTTTCGCTTCGAAAGATAACAATGACTTCGATCTGAATAATTCTAGACCGAAGTCATTGTTATCTTCATCCAATAATTGCTTATTAACCCTTTTATGAAAACTTCAAATTAAAAGACTCCCTAATATGTTATAGAATTGAAAAATGAGAGACATTTTAACTGACAATCACGTCGGTAATACTAATTAAATTTGCTGGAGATGAAACAACTATTAAAAAAAACAGATAGTAACACAGTGACAAACAAAATTAACGCATTTGTAGGTGGTTTGATAGTGGTTTCGCAGAAATATGAGAAAAAAATTTCACAATTTACAGATGAATCATGCACTAAATATTTTCTAAAATCAATCAGCAATTTTACACATACTAGTGCAATATTGGGCTGTGAAAAATATATTTGTGTAATTGATATTACCTTTGTACGTTTGATATCATATGCAATGCCGTCTTGATATGTTGTCTCCGTCTTCTCTTACTTTCCATTTGTTTCATGTCCTCACTGCCATTTTTATAAGCATCAGTGCGCTTATGTAAACAAACTTTTCTTTCCACCTGCGAATTGGGAATGTCTTAAATTTTGCTAATGGCCTTTTATTAAAAAATACGTGTCGCAAGTTACCACTCAAAAGCGGAAATGAAAAAGTGAAACATACGTGTGTTATTGTTGATAAGTTTTATTTCGTTTATGAGACATTATTTTAGAACTTTTGTGGATGATTATGCATAAGCTTTATTGAAGGATATTATGTAGCAAATGTCTTTATAGCAAAGATTGTATCAAAGAATAAATGTATTAATATGTAGAGTGATATTGATCTATTTAAAATTAATTTTCTCTGACGCAGATAACTGTATTGCCTTTATCAAATATTAACACTCAAAGTTTACGCTGTATGTGCAGAGAGATCACCGACAACTATATGATCTGTTAAGGATTGTTCTATCTTCATCTTAGTCTTTTGAACGTGCTTCAGTATGAAAATGTACCATTTACTAAAATGTATGAAAATATAACAAATATAAGCAAAACGTCAGTTTAAACGTCATCAAATATTAATAATTTTATTTCAAAGTCAGTAGCACCATACAAAATAATAAGACGATAATCATATATCAGCGATAAGAAAACTTGAAATAGTTGATAAATCGATATATTTGTATATTCAAGGCATACATATTTATGATTGATGCATAAGGATATAAAGCCCGCCGCACACTGGTGAACTTGCCGCGCGTATTTGTCATTGGTGACAGGTGTGATTTTAAGCCCGCCGCACACTTGTGAACTTGCCGCACGTACTTGTTATTCGTGACAAGTGTGACCGACAAAATTTCCTAGTGTGCGCGGAAGTTTTGAACAACATTTGTCATTCGTGACAGATGAGTCAAATATGAAACGCGTTAAATAAACTTGTCACAAATAACAAGTACGCGCGGCAAGTTCACCAGTGTGCGGCGGGCTTAAGCAACATTAGTTAATTAGCACTCTACCAAAATCATTCTTCTAACAATCACTAGTTATTTGTGAGTCTGCCACTTATTGTCTCTTATTTAAAGCAAATTTCTTTTTTCCATTAACGCAGCTGCTTCATTGAAAGTTAACAGGCTATGGGCACAGGACATTGAAGATGGACAGTCAAATAAAATTAAGTGGCTTAGTTTCAGTGGAAATGCTGAAGATTACACAGCATGGAGCACAAAATTACAGCGTTTATGGAAACGAAAGGGCAGATGAAATAGATTCTGGGAAGATTTTCAATTATTTTTGTTTTTTTTAGTATCTTATATCAACCAAAGAGTTAGAAATTTGGGAAGAATTGAAAAAAAACAAAGCAGAGGCAGTTGTAACTGAAAACTTTCGGTAAAAACTTTGTTCGATAATACAATTGTCCTTTAAGCCCACCGCACACTGGTAAACTTGCCGCGCGTACTTGTTAAGTGTGATATCAAACGCGTTTGATATTTGGCTCATCTGTCACGAATGACAAATGTTGTTCAAAACGTCCTCTCACATTAGGAAATTTTGTCGATCACACTTGTCACAAGTAACAAGTACGCGTGGCAAGTTTACCAGTGTGCGGCGGGCTTTATGGGTTTAAAAGGCACTTATCTAAATGCAAATTTCTTTTTTCAAATAACGCAACAGTTCCATTAAAAGTTTACAGGTTATATGCCTAGGATATTGAAAATAGACAGTCGAACAATTAAGTGGCTTAGTTCAGTGGAAATGCTAAACATTATACAGCATGGATCACAAAATTTCGTAACTGGCTAAAACTCCAAACTTACGTTTTTTATTTATTCTTCGTTTTTTAAACACCATCTTGTATTAACCGATGAGTCGGAAATTTAGAAGAATTGAAAAAAAAACAAGGCAGAGGCAGTTGTAACAAAAAACTCCCTGTGAAAACTTTGTTAGATAATGAAATTGTCACTTATGGGTTAAAAAGTTCTTTTCAGGTCCTTGCATTTAAAGATAACTTTTTAAGTTCCCTCGGTGCAAAAGAAAAGACATGTTCCCTTTTATTGGTGATGCATGCAAGGTTGGACAATCGATTCTCTTTCGATGTGCTACGCATATAGGTTTGACACGTTTTAAACAACTAAATGTCCTTTCGTCGGATGCAGAGGAAACAGGCTAGGTTCTAATAAGTCTTAGCAACGTATATTTATTTAGTACTGAACGCTTACACATTTGTGAGTTTTGTTCTATTTATAGTACTAGGTGCAATTAATGAAAGACGTGCAACGTTGAAACTTAGGTACCTTAACGTAACAATATAATGAGAAATGCGTGACTTCTTAAATATGTAACAATCCAACAGAAAAGCTGGTCTGATTTTTGTAATCTTCATACACATGACATCAAAATCCGTAATTTTGAGGTGCTCGCATCAACTATGGCCATTAAAATTTAAGACAAACAATTTTTGATGAATAACTTTAATGAATAAATTTGCGTTACATTCCGACTTCTTTGTTAATAGTTTTTCTTTTGTTTAACATGACAAAGAGGTGAAAGATAGGTTCAAATACTTGTGTGCTGATTAAACAAAAGAGTCGTCTCTGATTAAGTTGTCTTGTTAAGGAAAAATTTTACTTAAATTTCTAACGACAAACAATCAATATACAATTTATGTTAAATTAGCTTTAACAGGGATACTGGGTTTCTTTTTTGTTAATTGAACTAAAAACGTTAATCAAACCATAGTTGTGTTGTTGCATTTCCTGACGATGAGCAACGATGTTTTCTGTTATAACATTTAGATCACAATCACATTCTGTTTTATACATAATGTCCAAAATTATCTTCTACTCCATAAAACCCGTCATTGTTATAACCAGATGATTGAAATTCATTAGATTCTCTCCATATAAGCCATGGCTATTGTCTGTATAAAAATATATTGGTTATTTTCAATAAATGGAATGATGTAATCTTTACAGTTGTAGTCTTGGATATCGATATAACTGACATTTAGGCAAGCTGGTACTGTAGTAAATTCTTTCAAAACTGGTGCATTTTCATCGTTTTCAATTGCCAAATCTCTTTCATTCCAGCCTTTCTCAACGTATGAGCAAGCGATACGCCAGAACATGTTTCCATCATTTTTTATACTGATCATTGCATGAAATGAGACTTTGTGATCTTCCCATGTTTCGAACGATTCATTTCGAGGGAATCTTTTATAGTATGGTTTGTATCTATGGTAAGAAGGGAATTTTAATTTATACGGCATAACCAATGTCCAAGCAATCACAGAATCTAACTGAGAGGAGACTTTGACAAATTTTGTTTTCTTTTCTAAATGATTTATACCAGTCATTTGAGCAAACGAAATAATTTTGACAAGACATTCTTTCTTTTCACAACGTTGACCAACAAATCAATCTTTACATTCAAAAAAGGAACAAGTCTTACTGTATGATGTGCTTGATTCTTGGCACGCACCATTAATATAGCAATACGATGACCTCCGATAGTAATGCGTTTTCATATGGAAAATTTCTGTGTAATAATTTGACTTTAACTAGCATGAGAAAGAAATATATGCCCACAAAAAGGACATTCTCACTTTTAAAAGAAATTAATTTTATTGCTATATACATACATATATATAAATGTATGGATAAAATGTTTAAGTCTGTAGATAATTAATGAAATTTCAAATGGTGTTAAACATAAATTAATGAAAAATTGAAATATTATTTTGAAAAACAAGCTGTTTAGTAATTTATTTTATTTTCTGGCGTTTGTCACCAATTCAGGAACATAAATATCTTGCTACAAGACCCTAATTCATAAATTTTATACAGGTAAAGTAGATAAGGCAAAATTTGCAGCAATGGAGTTAGATATTATTATAATATGTTCAGCTTTGTAATAATTTAGTATTAAAACTAATTGAATTCATATTTTTAATATAAAAAATTGTGCATGTTTTTAGGTGTAAGAGTTCTTTATATAAAATTTATAAATTGATTTAGGGTATTTTATATAGTTATGACTCCCAAACACTGTTACATTGGTGTTTATTTAATAACTCTCTTTTCGCCACTCTGATATCAACAAACGCGCAATTGAGATGTTTGCAATTGCTAATTGTCACTGTAGACATCCATGTCTTATTTTATTTTACTATATAGTTATAAAATTTTGCTTGTAGATCTATGTTTGCATAATAGATGTGAGTATCATTTGAGACTCTAGACTCGCGATAATGCGCCTTTTTCTAATTTTCTGCATGACAAACCTGTTTCTACATAGTTTCACATGTGCGAAATTTCAATCATGTACAGTTAACATCTGAGTGTATGTTTTACACGCAGATCACATGTGAGAAAATACAGAACACATTTGTTCGATTCTCTATATTAATATAAATATTACATATCCTGATCGTATTTTAAATAAAATATAACATTGGAGAACTGTTGGTATTGTAACAATAAGAGACTGATCCTTAAGATAGTGCATTAAAGAATTTGGAAACAACATCGATCTTTTACTCGCTACTCGCATATATAGAAAAAAACGAAAAAACCTCTTTTATTATGTAAAAAAGTCTTTTATTATTTGGCGAGCGTCACTTCATGAAAAATCGCTCCCTTTTATTACCTTGAAAATATTTTAGCCCCTCCATTAGTTTTCCGTAATGGACCACGGTCAGCAACGCGTTATTGTACAGTCAAATGTAAAAATACTTTGTAAAGAAAACAAAAAAGACCAAAAAAAACAAAAAAACTCATTTATGAATGCGAGTGGAAAGTAAAACACTAGAAGAAAAGTATAATTAACTAGACCATACAAAGTAAAAGGACTTATTTTTATTGAGGATAGTTTAAAAGGAGAAAGCCAACCCATGCAAAACAGAAAGGACGGGAAAAAAACAAGCTTTTTCTTTGCTCTATGTTCTCGGTTTGTACAAAAATAATTCTGTTCGATATTTCTCTATAATAACCTCGCGCTGGTTTAATAAGGACATAATAATAAATTAACTTGTTTTTTGTAAATGCTTCTTATAATTTTA